CAACCGCAGCAGCAGCAGCAGCTGCTGCTGCTGCTGGTGGTGCTCCGTGCTGCTGCTGCTGCTGCTGCCTAGTAGGACTGATGGTGCAGCAGCAGCAGCAGCCGCAGCCGCAGCCGCAGCAGCAGCAGCAGCAGCAGCCTCGGGCGGGCCGCAGCAGCATTAGTGAGATGCTTCGGGTTTTTGTTGCTGCGCCTTTATTGTCTCTTAGCTTTATTAATTTCGTTTTGGGTTTATTTTGCTGCTGCTTCCTCCCTGCCGCAGGGCCCGTCTGCTGCAGCAGCAGCAGCAGCAGCAGCAGCTGCCGCAGCAGCAGCAGCAGCAGGACGGCACGTTTTCTCTCCCCGCAGGGGACCCCAGCTGCTGAGCTGGGGTTTTTCTGCTGCGTGTGCCTTCCGCGCCCGAGGGTTTAGGGTTTAGGGTTTAGGGTTTAGGGTTTAGGGTTTGGGTGGAGCCAAAAGACAGCAGCAGCAGCCCGCGAGGCTTTCGGCTCCCGCTGCGTGGGTCTTAGCGAAGGCAGCAGCAGCAGCAGCAGCAGCTGCTGCAGCAACTGAACAGCAACAGCAGCAGCAGCAGCAGCAGAGCTGTTTCCTGGGGTGGGGTTGGTCCCAAGGCCCCCTTTCGCGCCCGCGCTTCCCGCTGCTGCTGCTGCTCCCGCTGCTGCTGCTGCTGCTGCTGCTGCTGCTGCTGCTGCTGCAGCAAAATGGAGGCAGAAGAGGAGCTGCAGTACGAGGGAGAGTTCGCCCCACACCAGGACCCCCCGGAGGCCCAGGGGCCCCCTCCCGCTGCAGCTGCTGCTGAAGGTACGGCGCTGCTTCTTGCTGCTGCGGGGCCCCCTGGGGGCCCCCTGGGGGCCCCCGGGGCCCCCGGGGCCCCCGCGGCTGTTGGGGGCCCCCTGGGGGGCCCCGGAGGGTACTGGGGGCCCCCCTAGTGCGCGATGGGTGCATGCAACACGAGGGGGTGGGGGCCCCCCCGTGTCTCTGAGGGAATGGGGGGCCCCCCTCGCCTGGCTTTGGCTTTGGGGGCCCCCTGCAGCCTGTGGGGGCCCCCTGACAACGAGGGAGAGTCTCTGAGGGTCTGCAGCGGCCCCTTGCTGCTGCAGTGTGGGGCCCCCTAGCGCTGCTGCTGCTGCTGCTGCTGTTTTCGGGTGTGCCTTGCCGCAGAAATGGAGGACAGAAGCGGCGAGGGTCTTTCAGGGGGGCCCCCGGAGGGGCCCCCCGGGGGGCCCCCCTCCAGGGAGCCTTCGGGGGGCCCCTCGGGGGCCCCCTCCGGGGGCCCCTCGGGGGCCCCCTCCAGGGGCCCCTCCAGGGGCCCCTCCAGGGGCCCCTCCAGGGGCCCCTCTAGGGGCCCCTCTAGGGGCCCCTCCAGGGGCCCCTCTAGGGGCCCCTCTAGGGGCCCCTCGCTGCAGCGGGACTGTGAAGGAGAAAGAGAGCAGCGCAGCGGCAGCGCGGGGAGCGGCGGGGAGGGTTTTGACGGGACTGAGAAGGAGCAGCAGCAGCAGCAGCAGCAGCAGCAGCAGCAGCAGCAGCAGCAGCGGAAGGAGCAGCAGGGGGCGCACGAGGAGGAGCAGCAGCAAAGCGGCCGCGGCAGAGAGAGAGGCGACGGGGGCCCTGGAGGCCGCAGAACTGAACACCGCGTGGTGCGCGTCTAGGGTTTAGGGTTTAGGGTTTAGGGTTTAGGGTTTAGGGTTTGTGGTTTGGGGTTAGGGTTTCGGCGCGGGCGCTGGGGTGTATGTACAGCTGATCAGCAACCTGGACGCCAGCGTGCAGTGGCAAGACTTGAAGGACTTCGGTCGAAAAGGTGACAGTTTTTCGAAATAAATGGGAATTAAAGAGCAATTAAATCAAATTAAATTAAATTAAATCAAATTAAATTAAATTAAATCAAATTAAATCAAATTAAATCGAAATAATACCTCAAAAAGCCCTCGAGCTGCGCCCGCAGACGCCGCTGGGGTGTACAGGCAGCTCGGGTGTACAGGCAACTCGGGTGTACAGACAGCTGGGGTGTACAGACAGCTTTTTGGTTTTTGTGCAGCTGGAGAAGTGAATTTTGCAAATGTGACCTTTGCGGGGGGGCGGAAGTACGGGTGAGTGCAGCAGCAGCAGCAGCAGCAGCAGCAGCAGCAGCAGCAGCAGCAGCAGCAGCGGCGGGCGGGCGAGTGACCTTTTTTTTTCGCCGCAGGGTCCTCGAGTACTGCGAAGAGGAAGCAATGGAGACAGCCTTGAGAGAACTTAATGGATTGCGGCTGAGGTCTTCAGTAGTTTCTTTAAAAAGAGATCGCGGGGACTTCGAGGCTTTGTCTTCAACAGCAACTCAGCGTTGGGGGCCCCAAGACGGGGCTTTCGGGGGTTTGGGGGCCCCTCCAGGACTCTCCCCCTGAACTGCGGGGCCGCGAGAGGGCCCCCCCAGACCTCATGGGGGACCCCGTGAGGGGCCCCCAGTACCCTTCTCGGGGGGGCCCCTACGGGGGCGGGGGGGGCCCCCTGCTGCGGCCGGGGCG